TATAGAGATTATATTTTTAATTTTGTCAATTAAAAAATAGTGGAAATTTGTTTTCTTGCTGAACGATAGCTTTGAGGTTGCCTCTCTGCTCTCAGAGTTTAAAAATACTCATTTCTCCCTGTCCTCTGGCTTCTTGCTCTGCCTGGGGCTCTCTAGGCTCCCCAGGCCCCCGGATGACGACCCTACCGTGTGTCCAGCCCAGGGCTGTGCACTCCACTGCAGGTCCCACCCTGGGACTTGCCCCTTCCTGCTACCCCTTCCCTTCTGGACAGCAGTCCCCAGCCACTGGCCCGGGACCACAGCTGTTACCCCAGGGGACAGGTGCCACTGCAGCCTTCTAGGGGGGTATCCTGCCACTGGCTGAGCGCCTGCTTCTCCCGAGAGCCAAGGCCAGCGTGGGCGGCTGAAATCTCCCCGGTAACAGGGTCGGGCCCCTCCCTCTCCCGGCTTCGTCCCTCACCTGCTGCCCCCCACCCTGGCACCTGCTCTCAGGATCAGCCCCTCCTCCCGCCCCCCACCCCCACGCCACTCCGCTCCCTCCTGTGCTGGCTCTCCATGTCACCATCTGTGGCACAATCCTTCTCTGTCACTCTCCCTACCACCCCCTCGTTCTCCTTCCTCTTTCCTTGCTCGCGCTGTCCCTGGCTCTCTCTGCCTCTCTCGGCCCTTTTCTCCCTCGCCCGCCTTTCCTCCTCCTCCTCCTCTCCCTCCAGGCTCCTCTCCCCCTCATTCTGGCTCTCCACCTCCTCTCCCCCACACTCTCTGCACCTCAGACCGACCCCCCTTTCTGCTTTCTCAATTGGCTTCTTAGTCCCTGTGCCCATCTTCTCTTCCTCACCTCGGGAAGCATCCTCCACCCCACCCGAGCCTGCAGACCCCCAGCTGTGCCCCTCTTCCTGCAGGATGAGTCCCACTGATGGGGCATGACGCAGTGGGTGCCGGTGGGAAGTCAGGGCCGGAGAGCAGATGGAAGCCACTCTGTGGACAGATGTGGGTGCCCCGGGCCTAGGAGGGGGCACGTGCCCACAAGCGGTGTAGAAGTGGGCGCCACAGGGGGACACCAGCTAGGGCGGGGGGGAGGCTGCAGCAGGATGATGACCAGCCTGGCAGCAAGGAGCCCTTGTGCTGTGTGCAGGTAAGGAGCCGGGCTGGGGTCCTGGAGGGGGTGCCAGGGGCCCCTCTGGCTGGGCTGTGGGCTGACAGAGTCCTGTCAGCCCAGGAGCGCAAAGTTGGAGGCCTTCGTGGGACTGCTATGTAGCTGGGGGTGGGGGGCAGTTCTCTCAGTGTTTGGGGTAGGTACAATTCTAGAATCCTGGGGTCTCAGAACAGTCAAGGGTCAGAGCTGCAGGAAACTGATGCAAGGCATGCTGGCCTCTGGGCTCAGCTGGTGGCTGTGCTCCTGGGCTCCCTCTCTGTGCAGGGCATGGTGTCTGGCCCAATCCTGTCTTGTATTTACAAGCACCTTGGGAGGTGGGCACCTGAGCCTGCATTTAAATAGTGGGAACCTCGGCCAGAGAGAAGAGATTTGTCCAAGGTCATGCTGTGACCTGGCACTGTCACTCTGTAGCAGAGCTCGGACCCCAAGCCCGGGCTTGTGGGATAGAAATCAGGGCTCAGGCTCTAGGCCTTGAGTGGGAGCTGGTCAATCAATACAGAGGGGCACAGTCAGACAGCTTTGGAGGAAGGCCTGAGCATGCAAGGGACAGCTGGAGGTCATCAGCCTGCACTGTCCAGGACTGTCCCAGGCCGATTCTTCCCAGCCTGAGGCTGCATGGCCAGGAGATACTGAGGCTTTAAAAGTAGACAGAATGGAGTTCAGATTCTCCCTTCCCACTCACCAGCTGGGCGACCTTAGGCAAGCTGCGGAACCTCTCTGATCTGGGAGTCTGGGGCCCCTGTCCAGGGGGAACGTCTTTTGCTGCTCTCCTGGCTGTAGCACATGGTGTGGAGACAACTACCAAGTTCTGGGTGCTGCTAAGTGCTGAGAGCCAGCTCGAGGGGGGCAGTGGCTGGAGACAGGGAAATGAGCACAGCTGGGAGTCTGTATCCCCAGGGGCCGACCTTAATTGCTGTGGGGCCCCAGGTAGCCACTCACCCTCTCTGTTTCTCTCCACTCCTGAACAGAACGGTCCTCAGAGGAATCCGCCCCCAGCTTTCAGGCAAGCTGTGCCAAAGATAAACCAGACAGAGAGGAAAAGTCCCTCCTTCCCAAGGATGAACTAGATCATGCACAGGATTCCAGCTGCTTCCAGAAAGCCGGCACCAAAATTGCAGGTCTGCCTTAGCCTGGTGGAAAGCAGTAATTTCACTGCTCCTCTTGCCAGCCCGCCTCAGGGCTGTTAAACTTTGACAGAGATGGTGGGTGGGGACAGGGTTGCTGGCTGGAGTCCAGGCTGGTGTTCCCTGTGCTCTGTAAGGGGCTAGTTGGCCCTTGGGTACAAAGGAGGACTTGGCTGGGCATGGGGTCCTGGTGCCAGAGTGTGTGTGTCGGCACGTGAGGCTGTGCACGTGTTTGCCTGGCAGGAGGAGGGGGCTTCCCTGAGGGCATCTGTCCTCAAGCTTGGAAATTAGGTTTGCCTAGCTCTCTGCTCCTCTCCAGCCTGCCGCTATCCTCCCTCTGCAGCTCTGGGCTGTGATTGGCTGCCCAGCAGGGTTGCTGGAGAGAGGCTCTGTGCAGAGCAGGGTGCAAGGTGACGCAGAACCCCCCACCCCACTCCCACGAGCCAAGCCCAGGAAACCGGACTTTAAAGGTCCTAGACGCCACGGTTTGGGGCCAGGCAAGGACTGCTCCCAGCACTGGAATTTTAACATTCTGCATCAAGGACACTAAGCCTAAGAATCTCTGACTGAGAGTCTATGACTGTTCTAAGAATTTAAAAGGCTATTTATAGGTCACTTGCAGGCAATGGCTCTGGGCCCATGGTCTGGAGAGTGAGGGGCAGCTGGGACAGCTCTGAGCTGGCTGGCTGTGGTCCTGTTCTCCTACCCTCCTCCCTCCTGGCCTGCCTCAGTCTACCGGCCTGTGAAATGGAGGTGGGGGGGGGTGGTCTTGCAAGCTCCTCTCAGCTGTGGCCACCTGCTGCATGACTGGCTTTACCTCCATCCCCATCTGTCACTGGGGACAACAGGGGTGTCTCCCCCAGGACACTAATGCTGCTGCAGCCACCAGCTTCCCCAGGAACCTGGCACCGTCAGGGTCAGTGATTATGAGGCTGGTAGCATGACCCTAGAGCCCATTGCCATGCTTCCCGGTGCCGGGGTTGGGAGACCTGGGAGTAAAGGGTGTGGGCAGGCTGAGCTAAGGCATCCATAGGCTCAGACAGAGCAAGAGGCTGTCCCGAACTCAGGCACAGGAGCCATGGCCCAGGCATCCTCTGCCATCCTTAGCATCACTTGGTTGGAACTCAGAGCAGGGGCATCTGCTGGGAGCAGCTTGCCTCTCTCCTGGGAGCTCTGCCCCTGTGTAGGTTTGCCTGCTTGGGACAGCGACTACTGTAGGTCCTGAGTGGAATTGCAATGGAATTCCTCATGAGAGGAAGGCCTTCTCCACCTTCCCTTTCCCTGAGTCCTCAGAGGATCCCTGAGCCTCTAAGCTCAGACACAAGTGAAAATAAAACCACATCACAGTTTCTGCAGGGAAAATCAGAGGCAGCCAGGGGCCAAAGGCCAAGGGGACAAGCCATTAGGAGGCAGGTGCTCCCAGCCTGGCCTCCAGGAGCCAAAAGTCCTGCTGAGAAGGCTGGCGAGTCCCACCTGGCCTCCATTCATTGGCCACCTGCCTTCTGCTGAGGACCAACTTCTCTCACTCCTCTGACTCCAGGTCTCACCCTCCAGTGTAGGTGGAGCCATGCTTGGCTAAGTGGGAGGAAGGAGTTGGGGGAGAAAGGCTAGGGCTGGGTGGATCTCCACATTTAGGGAGCACTGAGTTCAGCAGGGGACCGGGATGGTGACTTGGCGTTGACACCCAGGGGCTGTGATGGAGAGGGGTAGGTGAGGGCACTGGGAGGTGCTGCTGGGCATGCTACTGCCCCCATTATTCCCCTCTGGGACATCTGCCCCTTGTGCCTGCAGCTGGGGGACATGACCATCCCGTGACAGCACCCACAATGTGTTCACAGATATCTCCATCTCCAGTAGGGCTGTGGGGGAGCAGGGGCCTCCACGCCCTGCCCCAGGGCACAGCTGCCTCCCTGGCAGGGCCTGGAGTAGGGCCAGCAGGACAGCCGGGCAGAGGGAAATGCTGAGTCCCCATGGGTCCTTTCCTGGCTCTGTGGGTCCTTTACTCCACTTGGAATCAGACATTTGGTGAAAGCTCTGGGCTCTGATAGAAAAGATACAGGCATGTTTTGTTCCGTTTGGTTTTGGGATTAAATACAAGCCCTTTGCTCAGAGCTATTGCCCCATTCCTTTTGATTTTCTTCTTTAAGACAAGATCTCACTGAGTCACTCGATTGCTCAGGCTGGGCTCCAACTTGCAATCCTCCTGCCTCAGCCTCCCAGAGAGCTAGGTTTTCAGGCATGCATCCCCACACCTGGCCCACAGAAAGGTTTTCACCTGGAATTTGGGAGCTCATGGATCCTTCCGGGTTCCTGGAGGGCCCCAGCAGCTTGAGGACAGGCTTGCCAAGGGCTGAGATGTACTCTGTGTGTGTGTGTGTGTGTGTGTGTGTGTGTGTGTGTGTGTACTGTGAGCCATTTCCTGGGGTCCAGCCAGCTGGGCACTATGCCTCAGAAAGGCAATGAATTACTTTATTAAACAGCTGACCCTCCTGTCCTGTCCTGTGCTACACTCCCTGATGTAATGGGGGGGGGCAATTCACTTCCCCGAGACTCATTTCTTCACCTGATAAATGCCGCAGGTCCAGCCAATTGTGGCTGGCTGTACAGCTTCCAAGTCCAACCCTGCAGGAGTGGGGCTGAGACTGCCATCCTCTGCTGTGACTCAGCTGTGTCCTTCCCCTGCAGGCCAGGAGCTGACTGCTGATCTGCTGCCCAGGGCCATGGACACCGCTGGTGATCCCTCACCGGTGCCCACGACCTTGGACCCTGGGAATGCCTCCGCAGCCTGGCCGCTGGACACCACCCTTGGAAACACATCTGTGGCCCCAAGCCCAGCAGCGCTGGCCATCAGCGGCATCCTGATCCCGCTGGTCTACCTGGTGGTGTGTGTGGTGGGCCTGCTGGGCAACTCGCTAGTCATCTATGTGGTCCTGCGGCACACAGCCAGCCCGTCGGTCACCAGCGTGTACATCCTCAACCTGGCGCTGGCAGACGAGCTCTTCATGTTGGGGCTGCCCTTCCTGGCCGCCCAGAACGCTCTGTCCTACTGGCCCTTCGGCTCCCTCATGTGTCGCCTGGTGATGGCCGTGGATGGCATCAACCAGTTCACCAGCATCTTCTGTCTCACGGTCATGAGCGTGGACCGTTACCTGGCCGTGGTGCACCCCACGCGCTCAGCCCGCTGGCGCACGGCCCCGGTGGCCCGCATGGTCAGCGCAGCCGTCTGGGTGGCCTCGGCTGTGGTGGTGCTGCCTGTGGTGGTCTTCTCGGGAGTGCCCCGGGGCATGAGCACCTGCCACATGCAGTGGCCTGAGCCGGCCGCCGCCTGGAGAGCTGCCTTCATCATCTACACTGCCGCACTGGGCTTCTTTGGGCCTCTGCTGGTCATCTGCCTGTGCTACCTGCTCATCGTGGTGAAGGTGCGCTCGGCCGGGAGGCGGGTGCGGGCTCCCTCGTGCCCGTGGGTGCAGGTGCCCGCGGGCCAGCGGCGGCGGCGCTCAGAGCGCAGGGTCACGCGCATGGTGGTCGCCGTGGTGGCACTCTTCGTCCTCTGCTGGATGCCCTTCTACGTGCTCAACATCGTCAACGTGCTGTGCCCGCTGCCCGAGGAGCCCGCGTTCTTCGGCCTCTACTTCCTGGTGGTGGCGCTGCCCTATGCCAACAGCTGTGCCAACCCCATCCTCTACGGCTTCCTCTCCTACCGCTTCAAGCAGGGCTTCCGCAGGGTCCTGCTGCGGCCATCCCGACGCGTGCGCAGCCAGGAGCCTCCCTCGGGGCCCCCTGAGAAGACAGAGGAAGAGGACGAGGATGAGGACCCAGAGGAGGGCACCGAGGAGCAGGAGAGGAAGGAGAGGAAGTGGAAGGAGCTGAACGGCGGCGGCGGCGGGCTCAGCGAGATGGCACAGCCTGGCACCAGCAGGCGGGAGCAATTGTCCAGTGCCGGGGCAGCCAAGGAGCAGCAGCCCCTCCCCCAGGAGCCCTCTGCTCGGGAGAAGTCTGGCCCCCTTTACGTCAGCTGCCGATAGGGACCAAGGAAGCAGCTGGCGGCCCCCAAAAAGGCAGAGGCTGTGTATGTGCTCACAAGGGATGGTCAGAGGCCTGGCCCCTGAGCTTGTTATTACCAGGACTGCTGTGTGGCCTTGGCGGATGACTTATCCTCTCTGGGCCTTGTCTTCTCCGTGACTCAGGGATGGAAGTAATCAGCCTGCATGGGCTCTGTCAGAGCTGTGCTCCGAGGGCTGGCTTCCAGGCTGACCTTCCAGAGCAGTGCCCAGGTTAGGAGATGGGCACCTACAGGCTTCATCTTCAGAGGGACAGACCAAGGCCAGGGTTTCCTGGGCTCAGTCTGGGACAATGGGGTCTGGAGCCTAAATGAGAAAGTTGAGCTCAGTGGGGAGGAGGGCGTGGCAGGCTCCGTTCTGGCTCCTGCCTCATGGTGACTGTGAGGTCGGGGCTGGCTGGACTCCTCTAGGCCTCTGCCTCTGCTCCCCTGCACTCTCTGGTCCCCTTCAGGCCTGTGGGCTGTGACAGCCGTGCTGGAAATCCTATGAGGAAGAAAAGAGGCAGATTTTCCAGGAAGTGGCTTAAGTGTTGATGCGGGGTCTCCTGCTGCTTGGGTTCTCCGGAGGCGACACACTTGTGCTTGTTTTCTCTTTTTGTTTGTTGAGACAGTGTCTCCCTCTGTAATTCAGATTGGCCTTGAACACACTAGGTAGCCCAGGCTGACCTTGAACTCATGGCAATCCTCCTGTCTCAGCCTCTGAGGGATTCCAGGCATGTACCACCATGCCTAGCATCCTACATTCATTTTGTACTAGTGATTTTGTACTTCTTTTCTTAGAGAGGGCCCCAAACTGCATAAGCTTAGGCTGTCCATAGCCTAGGTAGGCCCCTGTTGAGCTCAGCCACCTGGTCCCCCAGGCAGCTATAGTTCCCAGACCTGTCCCTCTTCTTCAGGCTACACCCTCCCTGCTCTGAGACCAGAGCTGAGCCCGGCATCTGCAGGCAGACATGGAAAGTTAGTATCTGAAGAGCAGGGTGAGGAGACAGAAGAGGAGGAGGAGGAGGAGGAGGAGGAGGAAGAGAGGGAGGAGGAAGAGGAGAGGGAAGAGGAGGAGGAAGAAGAGGAAAAGGAGGAGGAGGAGGAGGAGGAGGAGGAAGAGAGGGAGGAGGAAGAGGAGAGGGAAGAGGAGGAGGAAGAAGAGAGGGAGGAGGAAGAGGAGAGGGAAGAGGAGGAGGAAGAAGAGAGGGAGGAGGAAGAGGAGAGGGAAGAGGAGGAGGAGGAGGAGGAGGAAGAGGAGGAGGAGGAAGAGAGGGAGGAGGAAGAAGAAGAGGAAGAGGAGGAGGAGGAAGAAGAAGAGGAGGAGGAAGAGG